GTGTGTATTTCCGTCAGGGCAAGAGGATCAAAATGTTGCAGTATTGGGGGTGACATAAGAAGGTGACGGAGTGTGGCGAATGCATCATCATAAGCAGACGACCAACTAGAGAGGTCACTGTTGCCGGCAAGGTCAGTCAAGGGCAATATGATGGAGGCGAGGTTGCGAATAAAACGACAGAAATATGGACATAAAACGCGGAAGCTGCGAAGTTCTTTTAAGGTCTTCGGCTTAGGAGATTCGGCAACGGCACGGAGTTTCGCTGGATCCGGAAGAATGCCATCTTTAGACACAACATGGCCCAAAATTAGGAGTTTTCGAGCGCCGAAGCAGCACTTCTTCAAGTTGAGCTGTAGACCGGCAGAGGTTAGGCAAGTGAGGACTGTCTCGAGGCGCTGAAGATGCGTTGAAAAGTCGCTTGAAAATATCACGACATCGTCTAAATAACACAGACATGTCTGCCATTCCAGGCCACAGAGGATGTTGTCCATCATACGCTCGAAAGTGGCAGGCGCATTGCAGAGCCCGAATGGCATGACGTTAAATTCATACAAGCCATCGGGGGTAACGAAAGCAGTCTTTGGGCGATCAGCCTCAGCCATGGGAACCTGCCAATAACCTGAGCGCAGATCTAATGACAAGAACAACTCTGCGCCTTGTAAGCAGTCAAGGGCATCATCTATGCGAGGCAGCGGGTAAACATCTTTGCACTTGATCTTGTTCAACCGGGGGTAGTCGACGTAGAATCTTATTGAGCCATCCTTTTTTTTGACTAGAACAACTGGGGAGGCCCACGGGCTGTTAGAGGGCTCAATAACACCTCGCTTCAACATGTCGTCAACTTGTTCCGCGATTATGCGACGCTCAGATGCCGATACCGGATACAGACGCTGACGTAAAGGAGCGTGAAGGCCAGTGTCGCTTTGGTGAGATACTGTGGAAGCACGGCCCAAAGTAGGTTGCTGGTGGTCGAAGCTGGCGCGGAAGCGCTCGAGGAGGGCACTGATGCCGGCACGCTGCTGGGCCGTAAGGTTGGTGTCGATGCAGCGCGAAATTGCATCGGTGAATGATGGGGAAGAGGGCGACGCGCAGCAATCAACAGCGCCAATAGGTAGCGTAATCGAGTGATCAGGAACTACACGTGCACTTGAGGGATCAATGTTATCAGCGAAGCCCAGGCACTCTACACACAGTAACTTTAACTTGGAAGGCGAGGGAAACAGATTTGAAACATAAATTGCACTTGATCCATCGTGAATGTTCAGAACGGCGAATGGGATCAGGAAGCACTTGCGGTGCACAACGGTTTCAGAAGGCGTAAAAACAGTTGAGCCATTAGAGACGTCACAGGAAAGCGGAACTAGGGCGGATGAGAATGGGGGTATTGAAGTGTCGGCGGCAACGAAAACGTTTGCAGGTGAAAGGGGCGAGTCGAGTGAAGCAGCGTCGCATAACGACGAGAACTCCACTTCGGCGCGAACACAGTCGATGACGGCATGATGAGTGCGGAGAAAATCCCAGCCTAATATTATGTCATGGGAACACTGCGGGAGTACTACAAACTCGACGACATAAATATCGTCAGCAATAGCGACACGTGCTGTGCATGCAGCTAAAAGGCGAATTCGTTGCTTGCTCGCAGTGCTCAAAACGAAGTCGTGAAGAGGCATTGTGACTTTTTTAGTCGACGGCAAAGTTTTTCAGTCATTACAGACACTGCGGCGCCAGTATCAAAAACAAGTATACCTTCAACCGAGACAGCACCGACGTTGGACGGCAAAAAACAAGGTCTTGTGGAGTTCGAAAGATCCGTAGGTCTTGCCCCCCGAACTGCGGCTCCTAGTTTTCCTCAGGGACAGGGCGAGGTCGACGTAGCATAGGGGAAAAGGAACGGCGTTGAGGTGAAGGCGACCGGTGTCTGTTGAAGTTCCGGCGAGGTGAAAATGTGTCCATGGTCGCAGTCTCGCCATATACAGCAGGCTCCGGTTGTGGGGGGAACTCATAATTGTTGGGCCTGACGTCGTCACGCAGGAAAAACTCACGCCGTCGACAAAATCGTGCCACGTGACCCGCAATTCCACAGGCGAAGCATATGGGGCGGTTGTCTTGAGTGCGCCAAGGGTTCTGAAAGCGCGGAGATGGTGGTCGGGAGAAAGGACGGGCAGCCTGGTACATAGGCTCAGTCGGTACAACAAAGGGGCGCGTGGACGTAGGCGTTCACGACAAAGAAACGTGGCCGTTCGTGACAGGCGGACGTCGGGTTCCGTTCAGTGCTTCGGCATAGGTCAATAGAGCAGCCACAGATGGTGTGTGAGCTGTTGGTAGCACCTCGGACACTTGCTCCTAGACTACTCGCTGTATTGATGGCGCTAAAGTAGATGGGGCACCTTCGGAGGTATAAGGCACGAGGGACAACTGGCGTGCGACCTCCTCTCGTACAAATTGCTTGATCTCGAGAAGCAAAGTGGTGTGATCTATAGCAGTCCCAGCCGACGTTAAAGCGGAGATTGTTGCACATGGCGCGCTGGCACGACGAGTGGTGTCACGCTGTTTCCAGAGCTCATCATAGCTCTGACAAAGTTGGGTCACTTCGGCTACAATTTGCGGGCTTTTGGCGACAAGCATCTGAAATGCGTCGTCAGTCACGCCTTTCAAGATGTGTTTGATCTTCTCGGCTTCTGTCATGGCCGAGTTGACACGCCGGCAAAGGTCGACCACATCTTCGATGTAACTGGTGTAATTCTCACCATTCTGCTGAGCCCTAGTACGCAAGCGCTGTTCGGCCCGTAGTTTGCAAAGCGCTGGACGGCCAAACAAGTCCGCGAACGCCGTTCGGAAGGCCGACCAGGAGGGGAGGTCTCTCTCGTGATTATGGTAGCACAGACTGGCGACGTCGGTCAAATAAAATTGGACGACAGTAAGCTTGTGTGCATCGTCCCACTTGTTGTGCTTGCTCACCCGGTCGTATTCGTCAAGCCAGTTTTCCACGTCTTTGCCATCGGTTCCACTAAAGGTAGGCGGATCGCGTTGCCAAAAGGAGCCGAGACAGACAGGAGGTGCAGTAGTTGGAGCCGAGGCGGCCGCCTGTTGATCGTCTTCCGTGGACATTGTAGCAACTGGAGGCAACGTACGGTTTCGCAATTCCAGGATTAGGCGTTACCCAGCACCTCCACCAATTAAAATGAGGCGTTTTAGAGTGGCGCTTTTTTATAAAACAGGAGAGCGGTCACGACACGTCAAGTGGTAATGGCGGAACCAGTCTGAGTACCCAGCCAACCAAATGTAGTCTTCTTCACCGACTGAGTCATACCCCCCGCCTTTCTGAGTAGCACTCATCTTCTTCACTACAGTCAATATAGATTAGAAAAAGAAGTGGTCCTAGTACTGATCCTTGCGGCATGCTGGAACGAACTTCAGTTAAAGGTGAGCCATGATTATTAGCAGTAACAAACTGATGATGGTTACAAAGAAAGCATTCGATCCATTTAAGTAGGTTACTATCGAGGTTTAAAAGACTTAGTTGAAGTAGTTGATGGCAAACTTTGTTAAATGCTTTATTGAAATTAAAAACACACAGTCAGCAGATGAGACGCGATCTAAAATACAGTGTAGTTTATAAGTAAATGTAATTAGTTGCATTTCGCAAAAGTATGTTTTACGGAAACCATGCTCAGTTGTAGGAACAACCAACATGACTTGGAACAACCACCAGGGCAACCCGCTCAGACCTCGTCTTTGCCAACTTCAGGCTAGATGCGATTCCACAAAGAGTAATAATGAAGGCAAAATGAAATTCCCAATACAACACAAGAGAAGTTTCAAACCCCCAAGAAATAGCGTCAAGGACACTGTGCAAAACCAAACCATGTTTGGGTTGGGAACGCTATTTCTTGAATTTAGCATGAGCCCCAAATCTACCCAAAAGTTTTCGGTCAAACGTGACGGCACCCAATGAAGTCTAGAGTGATGTAGAATAAGGGGAGTCTCCAAAGCACCGCAGGCTTCGAAAAATTATCACTCCTGCTTGACCCAAAATGTCCATACGCAAATAAGGGCTTTGCGGCCCCAAACTTTTCGAGCACCTATTCAAAAACTTTCTACGACATGCAAGTTAAGCATTGTTTGTAACTGTACATGCGTGACTGGTCCGTATCACGGGTGATTTACGGTAAAATCGAACGATTCCACTGCTTCACCCACTCATCGTCACTCACTTCGTAGATATGCCGTTTTTTTTTTTTGTTGTTTTTACAGCGAAAGCTGTTACGAGATCACAACTCAAGTCACGCGCGGCGCCGCAGTTGTCCGCCGCCACCACCGCTGGTGTCCGTAACCACTTCGCACGAAATAAAAACAAAACCTTGTACCAATGACAGTGGGGCTCAAGCCCGTGTCCGCTGCGTGCTAGCCCAGTATTCTACCACGCCGGTGCTTGGAACTTGTTCGCAAACTTGCCATAGGCAGGCTCGATGTCGGGAAAGGAATCGAGTAAGTAATACGAGTAATAAAGCGTTTTATAACAGCAAAAGAACAACCAGGCGCCACACAATGCGAATAGCGTAAAGAGTGGATCGTCCAATGCTCTAACCCATTACAAAAGCTTGTTCTCGATCACCTATTACCTGAGGCGCATACCCACTTCAGGCATAAGTCCTCATCGTCGTCAGCCACTGCATGAACTGGCACAAAATTTCTTGCAAGTGTTAAGCTGATACCACGCTGCTCACAAGAATGATGAAAAATAGCATAGCGATTGCTGGTCTACTATTTAAAATTATTATTATTAATGCCGTAGTGTGTTTAGATGTGTGTTTAATGCCGTAGTGTGTTACCCGCTGAGCGTTTAGAAAAGACTCTGAAAGGCCGCTCTACTGGTTTTCCTTTGCATTTTTTTTTTCGTTATGTCTTCGTGCGGTGAACTTAAATTTTCATCGACGTCATACGTGTCAACGGGTTCACACGAACAAAACCAGGCACTGGCGACAAACACAGACTTTTACCTGTATGCGTGGAATTTTGTCCCGGATGCTGGTGAGCGCTGTAAGGCAAGTGTAGCAAAAGTACATGCGTGACTTGTGACACTCTGGACAGACACCGCGCTCGGTTATGTCTTCCAGAAACTTGGATGACGATATGTGCAGGCGGGAAAACGGGTCTTCGTGTTCGAACAGACAGCTTCGCGTTATGAGCGGTCGCCACTGGCGCGTCATGCCTTCGTCTACAGTGTCAGAGAGTAGTCTGCAACAAAAATGTCCCACCAACCACGAAGGTTCCAGCAACAGTACGAGTCGGCACTCGCAACAAGAGTTTCGCTGACAAACTATGCAGTGACTATTCTGTGAACCAGACGACACAATTAAACATTGTTCTGTTCTGTGAACTAGACGACAAAATAAATATATTCATTGCGTGAACCACCCGCGCCTTACATTATCGCACCGTTCCCGATGGATGGATGGATGGATGAATGTGGCTGTACCATCCATAGAGCTTCCTAGAGGGAAACTAGTTACTAGAGGGAATTCTGGCACTAGTGTCTAAGGGAGCTGCAACGCACGACGCTTCGGCGAGCATGGGAATGATGGGTAGTAGTCACGGAGTTTCCTTCCTCTAGAGTGCCTAGAATATTCTAGGCACTCTACTTCCTCCGTGGTAGTAGTACACAAATTTGTCTAATATTCGTACTTCTGGTCTGCTTTTGACTCCGTGTGGGTTCGTGTGGCTTGGAGCTGTTTTCTTACGAAACAAGTATTAGCAAATGTTCAGCGGTTGCGCTTCACCATTTTCTTTTTTTTAGACTTACTTTCCAAATCGGCTCACGAAGTTCAAAAGGGTTCAATCTTTCTATCAAAACAAAACCGGTACATAACAATAAACAACGCCGCAAGTACGAAGACTGGGCAAATGTGTGTACTATTCATCATTCCCATGGTCGCTGAACGATCGCAGCGCCAGAGTGCCCTCTAGTTAATCTTGAGATCAAGCGGCGGCTAACGCCACCTAGCCGTAATACTTAGTGAACTAACAACAAGACATCTTTTTTTTTCTTCCTTTAAATAGTGAGGTTGAGGACTGGTACTTAGCAGTGAAGGGTTTGCTTTTCACTCTTGCCTTGACTTTAGTTTGGACCAGTCAGATAACCTTCTTCTAGTTAATTCTACCCGCCTAAAGTCTATTTTGCCCTCCGTGTCCCTAAACCCCAGTGCTTTGAAAAAAACTGCGCCATCATCTTGAACTATAGGGTGAAGCCCTTTACAGAACATTATCAGGTGTTGGGCAGTTTCATCCTCCTCTCCACATGCACTGCATACTGTGTCTACCCCTTCGTATTAGGCCCGATACGTCTTCGTTCGCAATACTCCCGTCCTGGCCTCAAACAGTAGAGAACTACCCCGAGTATTATCATAGATCCTTTCCTTCGCAATTTCCTGCTTAAAGGTTCGATAGATCTCTAGTGCGTACTTCTTAATCATGCCCATTCTCCACATATCGGTCTCAGCTTCCTTCACCTTCTTCTTAACCGATAATTCTTTTTGGTTTGGCACCCTGCTGTTTTCTAAGTATTTACCCGTCACTTTTCTGGTTCGCTTCCTGCATTTTGTATCGACATTCTTCATGTACAAGTAGCTGAAAACTTTCCTAGCCCAACGCTCCTCCCCCATTTCTCTCAATCGCTCGCTTCTCAAATTTTATCTTGCTCCTAGCTTCCCTGCCCTCAACTGATGTCCATCCCATATCACCTTGTACTCCCTGATTTGGTGTATTCCCATGAGCTCCTAAAGCAAGCCTACCTATTCCACGTTGCTTAATTTCTAATCTTGCTTGAAAACGTGGCCTTTTTGGCACGTTTTCAAAGAACGCTTCCTGGGCGCTTACAAATTCAGCCATGATCCCCTTGCTCACAACTAAAAAGGAAAATGATATGCACGTGCAAGTTCGGTGTTGCTGCGTCTACTCGCTAGGCTAAGCATTGGAAGACTCGGCTTTGCTGCGCCTACTCGCTAGGCTGTGTGTTCTGGTGCTACCATCAGATCTCTTAAACTGCATTGCCAGGTGCCTATTCCTTTACAACTTCCAGCGTCTCTCCACCTATTGCAAAGTGCTGTTTTCTGCCGAGACTGTAGCACATCACTTTAGTTTTGTGCATATTAATTTTCAGACCTACTTTTCTGCTTTCCATGTTCAGTTCTGTAATCGTGAGCTGTAATTCATCTCCTAAGTTACTCATGGAGGCAATGTCATTAGCGAATCGCAAGTTACTAAGATACTTTCCATTAACTCTTATTCCTAACTCTTCCCAAGCTAGGGTCCTGAAAACCTCCTGTAAGAACGAGATGAATAGCACTGGAGAGATTGTATCTATCTGCCTTACACCCTTCTTTATTGCGATTCTGCCGCTTTTTTTATATTGGCTGTGCATCCACTGTAAATTTCTTCCAGTATGTTTATGTAGCGTTCTTCGATGCCCTGATTCAGTAGTGCCTGCATTACTGCTGATGTCTTGACTGAGTCAAACACTTTCTCGTACTCTATGAAGGCTATGCATAGGTGTTGATTGTATGTGAAGGTGTTGTTTGATATGTTTATGGCACGCGATAACGTTAACATCATGGTACATTCCACAGTGCAGTTAAGTGCGCCGTGTTTCGGTCGGTGCATCTTCTTTTCACGATCTAGCAGTAATTTATTTTGGGCAAAAAATATCAGTTATGGTCTTGTTGCTTTTTCCCACTTCATAACGCAAATTATTTCACAAAAGATCACATCTCATACAATAATAAAAGGACCACGGCTGTGGAGGGTCTTGACACTTTAATCATGCACTACCATATTGCAATTTTCAACTGCAGCTCAATGACCACTGCTTGAAATAATTAATGCATAATAAATTCTGTTGTCACAACATTTGTTTGCGTAAACTTTTGGTTGTGAAAACGTGCTCAGACGATCAACATCAGCTGGTACATTAGTTTTTAAACAGCACCCAAATGGTACTCCATGCCTCTCGATTATAGCAGAGCGTAATAGTATTTGCTTAAGATATGTGGTCAATAGGTGCAAAAGTACAGCTGCGGCACATTAAGCAAGTTATTTGCAGTTAAAGAAAAACTGGGAGCACTTGATCACAGCACTATTGGGAGTCTGTCACCATGTACAGATCTTTTGTACTAGCATAGGTTTCTGTGCTTGCAAGCTCATGCACAGCAGAGCAGAAGGAACCTACATTGCTCTCCATTAAAAGCATAATAAAAGAATTCGATTTATCTCTTGCAGCCATACATTTCAACTAGGAAGTTTGTCTGGTTGAAATTAGTTGAGGAAGTAAAAGTACTTATAATCTTTAGATGCTATAGCACCCCCTGAGGAGGCCTTGGTGGTCAAAAAGAAAATGCTTCCTTAGAAGAAAAGCCAAGGCAAGGCTTCTCTTGATTGTGATTAGAAAAAGCCATTGTTAGTCTTAGGCAGTAGAGTTTTAACACCCTTCGCTAACACCAAAAAAAGTCGACTGTTTTTCTAGGTCAAACTCTTTTGCTGGCCTCGGAAGAATGTTATACTAAGCTCTATTTTTACTCTTTATATAGCTTCTTTCCTACCCGTTAACAAACTGCTAATACCCGAACATTAAATGTCTAGAAATTCAAATACTTCTGAAGTCAAGATTGTCACAAGTTATTTGCTTTTTCTTCAGCGTGTCAGGATGGCGTCATAATTAACATATTGAACTTCACTGTAATGAATGGAATATTTTTGCTCCGATTGAACAGGTGCTGTTTCAATTGCCATGCATTTGCGTAGATTGTCAAACACATCACAAATGATCGAATAATAAATACCTCAACTTAGTAAACAGAAAAGTTGTATAATTCAAATGTGGTGTTTTGTTGCATGTCATGAAGAGGGTAACATCATTCAGTAAAAGCACTGTTGGTGATTTCTATAGTCATAGAACTAATTGAATTTAAAGAATTAGTATTGAGGTTCCACTTTGTTGCATGTACAAAGAGTAGCACGATATTTATCCTGTTCTTTATGCCTGTGCATTTCATTAATGGCATTTCAACAACCGGGAAGTCGTATTGATATTGCCTGTTTTTGTCATATTTTACTCCGACTTAGCATTGTGTCCGATGCTAGATGCCAGAAGAAATTAATATGTCCCATTTCCCATTCATCATGAAGAGGTTTCTTTTTAACCCATTGTTTGAGGCAGTGACGTTATTCAGCATTCTGCTGTAGAGCATTAGTGCAATATGTTTGTACAGGACTCTATACCATTGGTCGCATTTACATGCTTTTTTTGGTCTACACATGTAATTTTAAAAATCCTCAATGTAAATGTGACTGTCTTCATATAAATGTGAAGTAGTGCATTAAACGAAAAAGTCTGAATCTCTATTCTGCGCCTAGGGTAGTAGGAAATGGTGCCGTGCAGTCAGGGGCAGATCCAGTCATTCATGTTAGGGGGAGGAGGGGTCGCTTAAAGTAACATTGGAGAGAGGGGCGTGGTCATTACTTTTTTTTTTTACTAGCACAAAAACTCTATCATAGCGTAAATACTATTATTGTGTGCTCAAAGAAATCACACTCATTTGTCCTACTTGGTGATAGCGGGTGGACGGCAAGCACTGAAGAGAGGGGGTAGGGGGTACTGACAGGCTTTGGGGGGGGGGGGGAACCACCCCTATGACCCCCCCCCCCCTTTCTGGATCTGCCACTGCGTGCAGTTCTACACGAGATCACAGGATTGATTCCGAACTACAACGGTCACATTATAATAGATGCGATATGTACTAATGCCCTAGTTCCATGCACTCAGAGAAATTATTAAGTAAAAAAATTAGGCTTTCACTTGAAGCAGTGCTTCTCATCGCCAGATCAGATTTTAGTTTTGCGACATGAAACTGAAAAACTTAATTTTATTAATTCCTCTCTAAGCCAGCATAGATGCACTCTGCTTGCAAAACCCTGCTCCGTTTTTTTCATGTGGATGTCTGGTACATCACAGACTTTATGGCATTATTTAGCAGTGTGGTTTTTCAAGGCCTTCCCGATGGCCATGACCATTTTTTTTTTCCACATTTGTTCAAACCAGAATCAAGATCACCAGGGAATATTTCCTGTAAGGGAGGATGTCTGAAAATAGTTGGTTAGGTGTTCAAGTTGGCCCGTATTCCTTTTGCAAATCAATAACGAAATTCCTTCATCTTCATAATGCAAACAAATTCTATATCATGATGGGGCAGTCATACAGCCATACTGTCAGAGAAATAAATGTTCAGGACTAATATAAATGTTGAATAAAAGATACTGGCAGGAAAATGCAAAGTTAGATGTCTCTCATAATTATATGGTGGCTTTGGGCCGTTAAAACCCTACATATCATCGAAAATGCTAAGCTAACCTTGCTTGAAAAAGTTGCTTGTTATTTACTACACATCTCAAGGATCAATATGAATTCTCTGCAATTAGAG